GATCCTTTATGTAGAGATGGTTGAAGGTGTATTATTACCTTGCACTCTATTAGCTGATGTCTCATTACTCACAAAAATGGGACAATCTAACATGATTGGGTTGGATCAATCTTCATTGGATGTATGTGGAGTGCAAGAAACTTCATGTGGCATTGATAAATGCCTTAAGAAAAGAAACATAGCGACCTGTGAGCATGCACAAGAAAAAGAACATTATACCTGTTAACTTTTTTCCATCTCAGTAACTTGGATCAGCAGTTACAGTTTTACACTTGGTGCTGAATTCGAAATGCATATAGCAGAAGAACAGTGTAAAGAGTCATGCTCAGCTAATCGTGCAGCTTGGGCTGAACTTAGACTCAGACAATGTCGACCTGAGCTGAGAATTTGAGAATTTGACGGAGCTACTAATTATAAAAGCTTGCAAGTAAATCTTTTTGTTATTAGCCAATAGCTTGCAAGCAACTTGGTTGAATGAACCCCTAATTTTCACTTGTCTTATAGCTATATCGCATTGTTCTGAGTAGTCGCTTGCAATAAGAAAATTGCCAGAGTATCTAAAATGCTCAAGTTTCTTGCCTAGCGAGTAATGACCAACAATTTGCAAGTGGCTTCCATAATATGGACTTAAATCCACAAAATGTACCATAATTGCACAAACCCTATTGGCCCTGATAGGATTCAGAAATGAATTTATAAATTTATATAGTAGAATTGTAGGATTGTAACGACGGGATTTAGAATTTAACAACTATGCTTTCGAGTAAGGTTTTGACCTTAAATACAAGTTTTATTAGTTGGTATAGCTGATCTAGCTTTGTTTAGCTAGTACATAACATTGGATGGGAGTATTTTTCAAAAACTAGATTTTCAAATACAATAAAAGTTTTTATAAAGTACTCTAAAAGGTAATCTAAAAATTAGTTTAAATTTTTTTAAAATTTTAACAAATATTTCAAAATATATTCTAGAAATTCTTCTACTCTTAAATATCCCAAAATATTTTCTGAAAATATCCTAAAATATAATCTAAAAACTCTGCTATAGCAAAATTTTTCAAAAACACCTCCAAAAACAGCTAATCCAAACGGAGTCTACTAAGCATTAGTCTCTAATTATACCAATTTTTTATTTGGGATAATATCAAAAACCTTTCCTGAGGTTTCTCTTAATAGCATTTACCATTCTTGAGATTTTAAAAATATCACTTACCTCCTTTAGTAATTATAAAATGACTATATTAACCCTTACTTTATATATAACCCATATATCAAATAAAAAGAGTTCAAAAAATTAAAGAAAAAAAAAAAGAAAAGCCACTTTCTTCTCTTTCTCTTTTCTCCAATATTTTATCTTGTCTATTTTTTGGATGACTGTTCGATTTTTTGTTGGATAAATTATCATAAATTGAATTTTGTTTATCTTTTTCCTTTTAGTAATCGTGGTAGCGCACGGTAGATTTCTTTGGTTATTTGATTTTATTTTTATAGTGATTTATTACAACTCAAAGGCTTGGGTCATAGGTTGAGAAAAGGTAAAAAAGAATTAATTTTGATCATATAAAGTTGAATTGGTGCTAATGTATTCTTTACCAGTATCTTTCTTTTGTTTTTCAAAATTTCATTTTTAAGAGCTATGGCTTTGTAACATGGTAATAGTACTTAAGATTTAGATGGTGGTTTTTAGTGGAGTAAAGGAAGTGGCTTAGGAGTATTTTTGTTTAGCAAAAGAAGTAAAAGGATAGTTTAGGATTTTTAAAGATTTTTTCATACAAATAGCAAAAGTAAGGAAAGTAAGTGATACTTTTAAAAAAATACTAAGTAATCTCAAAAATACTAAGTAATATCCCTTTCTACTTTTTACTCCGATTAATGAAATAGATCTATTTTGCCAAAAAAAAAATTTCTCTTATATATATCGGATCGGATGGTCCTTTCCTTTTTCTGTCGTTCAACTTCTGCTACTCTTCCTTAGCACATGCAGTATTAGAGTTTCCTTTAGTTTCATATTCTTTTTTCCTTGTAATCTATGGCTTACATGGAAAAACTAAAAGAAGACTCAGTAGTAGCAGTAGACTGGAGTTGTTATCTTCCAAAAGAACTCCTTGGTGTAATCTTGGATAAGCTAATTCACCTTTCTGATTACATCCGATTCGGGGCAGTTTGCAAGTCCTGGAATTCCGTTGCACTTGATCACAAACAAGTCCGGATTGCCAATATCAATAGGCAGCCTCCTCTGCTCTTCATTTCCACTCCAGAAAAGGCCTACAACTGCTGTATCAGCACCACCAAACTACACAGTATTTCGGAGCATAAGTTTTACAATTGCCAATTCCAAATCCCTCATAGATCTCGATTGTTAGGTTCGTCTTATGGCTGGTTGGCTGTTGAAGAGGCGGCCATGTCATCAAACCTTATGAATCCCTTCACTCGAAAGACTATAAATCTGCCTAGGCTTGATTCTGGTGCGGATGAGGTTCGTAAAACGTAAATTGATTTTGTCTTGTGATCCTTGTTCAACATGGCCGGCGGCTGATTTTTGTGTTGCTGCAATTTATGGTTTTTGTATGAAACAAAATTTTGCTTTCTTAATACCGGACGAAAAGTCTTGGACTAAAGGAGTTTATACAGTTGGCTTTGTTCTGGACATTATGTTTCACAGAAGGAATGTTGTATGTAGTAGATGAACAAGGGCTCATTGTCGTTGACTACAGAAGGTTCAAATACAATCATGATGATCAATTTGTTACAAAAGTTGAACTTGAACTGCCATACCAGAATCATGTCATTGTGATAAGTAGTTTTCGTCAGCCCTATCTAGCAGAAGCTTCAAATGGAGATTTTATTATTTCTTAGTGACAGTTCCTTACTTGACCAATGAATATTCTCATGTGGGATTCACCACTTACAAGCTGGTGAAAGAAACCATGGCTTCATCAGACGAAGAAAAGCTTTGCTGGGAGAAAGTTCATAATGATGATCCCTTTTTTTTTTTGCCATAATTATTCCTTATGCATCTCAGCATCTTGTTTTCCCTGTTACAAGCTGTATTACGTATACTTTTTCACTCGGAATTTTAGGGGCAGATATTACTATTGTCTTCCTGATGAGTCTGATAATGATGGCATTGGAGTGTGTAACCGGGACGATACGAAGGCAAGGAAACTTGACTGTCTCGAAGGTTCTCAAAATCGTGCAATTCCTATTGCGTGGATATCTCCAACATTGAGCTGAATTGACATCAGATCAGAAATCTACACCCTAATCGTTCTTTTTCTAGCAAATTATGATTATAAATGTTATCTCTAGATTGCATCTTCGAGTTCGTAATTCTTACTATTAAACCTCTCTTAGGCTCTGGTGGATATTTTACTTATTATGGACATATGTTTGTGAAAGCATTACAAATTAATAGTGTGTCATGCCGTTCCCTTGTTGATTGTAGATTTAACTCTGCCGAAATATTTACTGTTGCATAATATTTGCAGGAAACTAAACATGTTAGATGAACATGTAGCGCAAGTCCAAACAAGCATTTTAGATCATAATCTTTTGATTGATAATGAACAGACTGAACCAGCTGGGGATCTTTGCTCTGAACTTTGGAATTTGATTTGGCTCACGAAAGAAATAAGACTCCGTTTGTATTTGACTGTTTTTTACAAACTAGTTTTTCACAGACAATGTACTTGCGAGCGTAAAGTTTACAATTGTGGTCTCCAAATTCCTATTAAATCTCGCATCGTAGTTTCATCTTATGGCTGGCTAGCTATTGGAGTTGTGGATTCGTCAATCAAGCTTGAATCTCTTTAGTAGAAAGACTATATATTTACCTGGGATTAGTTCGCAATCTCCCATCTTCGGAGGTAGGGTCCGTAAACTGATTTTGTCTTTGTGATCCTTGTTCAACATGTCAGTGGGGTTGATTTTGTTGTTGCTGCAGATTACAATAAAAAAGTTACTTTTGCAAGACCAAAAGAAAATTCCTGTTGGACTGAAGAAGTTATTGTACGTCATGTTAAGGACATAATTTTTCACAAAGGGATGCTATAATGTGCTGCGTGAAAATTTCCTCCGTAATTACTGTTATTGACAATAGTAACTACAAATACTATCAAGATGAATTTGTTGCTACTTTTAAAGTTGAGCTGGAAACCGAGTATTTCTATAGAGCCTTTTGGAATATTTCGTTGTATCTGGTGGAAGCCACAGACGGAGACTTGTTGCTGGTTATCAAGGTTCCAATGTTTCGTTTTGGTATGGAAATTCACACTTATAAGCTGGTGAAACAGACAATGGCTTCATCAGGTGAGGAGAAGTTCTACTGGGGAGCATGTCGCAGGCTGGAGAGCGATGAAATTGGCTTTTTGGGTGAAAATTATTCGTTATGCGTCTCACCATCTTGCTTTCCTGATTGCAATCCACATCAAGTATACTAATTCTTTCATAATTTTAGAAGAAATAATTCCGACATGTCTGACCATGGCATTGGAAGAATTCACCAGAAGGGTGTTAACGCAAGGAAATTTATGGATTTTGAAGGTTTGGGAAATTGTGGAGTATCCATTGCTTTGGGAAATTGTAGGGTACCCATTGCTTGGATATCTCCTACATTGTGCTGAATTGAGATGAGAGAATCACAAACCTATAACCTTTAAACAAACGTAATTGCTACTTATATGTTGTATAACTTCAATTTCGTCATTCTAATTAAAGTCTTCTTGGATTCAGCTGGATATTCCACATATGAACTTATCTTAGTCAACGTCTGCAGATTTAAGTCTAGAGTGATATTTATGGTTACATAGTTTTTGCAAGATCTTTATAGGAATTATCTTTGAAGAACCTACAAATAGCCATTTTGAATCACCACCTGGATCTGTAACTTGAACTTGGAATTTCTTTGGCTGTGTTTGATATTTAACAGTTGATTAGTAGATTAACCTGATTCCGAAAAAGGGATCATTGAAGATATAGCCTGTGACAAGACCATACACCAAGTAGTTGTAATTGGAGATCACATTAATCAAACAAGAATCTTAAAGACAATTGTATCTCATCCAAGTCCTGGGACAACTTTCTATTCATGTATTCCTTGTAAGACAGAAATTTACACCGTCCTATGGCAGATGGATTATTTTCTTAATCTACTTAATTTTGCTCCTCGGAATATGTGGTACACAAATCGATTATTTTCTTAATGTTCAGCTGATTCTTGTGTTTCAAATTCTGTAGTAGTTTGTCAGCGTCTTGCCATCCAACTCCTTGGAGAAAAATCTTCCCATGTAATCAGACAGTGTGAACTGCCTGTAAACAGCTGGTTTTTCAGCAGATACAAGTTCAGGAAAAGGTCCACACAGCTGATCACTATGGCTTGGCTTCAGAAAAACAGCAACAGATACACGAGCATCTCGGAGAGGGTTTGCCAACACTCTGTGCTCCACGCTTTTGTATTGATCATTCGACATTATCTGCAAAACAGAAGACAAACAGAAAAATGTGTGCAGGCTTTCACAATGTGGTTCCCTAAAACTCGAGTCCAGAGTTAAAAATGAAGAGAAAAAGTGAAACAAATCCTTCCCAAGTCATTCGTAAAGCACGAAACGCATCATTTCCAGATCATATTCGTGCATGAAAAGAAAAGCATTATTATCAGTGCGATAAACGAGGATCCAGATCAATTCAAGAAGTTTCTTAGCAGGGGCATCACAAATCAAAACTGAACAATTGGCCAAAATTGCATTACCTAAAGAAATAGAACGCAAAGAAGACTAAAACATAACATACATCTAGTTTCTTTGTTGACTTCAATCTTGAACTGAGGCTCCCAAAGGTCAAATTGCCAGCCCCAATTCAAAAAATATGTGAAATATGTGAGTGGAGAGTTCAAGATACCCCACCGAACACTGCTTTTCCTCCCTCAGCATACCAAGCATTCCAAAAAGATGCCAGATATTTCCACCTTTAAATTGCCCATAGATCTTATGCAAATATTCAAATAGGAACATTTAAGGCTTCACATGTGGTAATAACTTCTCAAAATGGGAAAAGTAGAGATTTGTTAAATTTGTTGGGTGTATCTCAACCAAGGATATCATCAAACTATCTACTTAATTCGTAATATCCAGTGTACATGTCACGCTCTTAGACTATGCAATATGCAGTATATTTGCTCCATTGATCAATTGCAATCCTACTTTCTTCACTCGGCTACTAATAATTCGTGCAAATATTTTATTACACCCCTAACTCATGTAAGAGAGATATTTCATCCTAGAACCGTTTCCACAAACTTTGTTTCACAAACTAAGATTTCAATAAGCAGGGCTTTTTGGTCGAGAGTCTAGCACTTAATAATAAAGTTCGATAATTGTGCTGTATTACATGAACTTTTGATAATACAGGTACTTAAGCTTCAAAGTCCAAAGCATGTAGGTTTGAGATTTCGCAGTGTGAATCAGTACTTGGGCTAAAAGAATCTCGCTGATGCATAAAATTTTGAACAGGAAATATAGCTAACTTAACTTTTACTTATACAGTTATACCTGGAAAAGATCCCCAATATTGAACAAAATAGCACCCTTCACAGGCTCCACATCAACCCACCCCTCCCCAATTTTGACCTGCAACCCCGGCACCTCATTTTGCACCAGCATAGTCAGCAGCCTCAGGTCAGTATGTGATGTCAACCCATCAGTCAGTTCCGGCTGTGTGCAATATGGATAGTAATGGGCAGCCATAACCCTCCCACCTGAAATCTCCCACAACTTATTATTACTCTTTTCCAATCCCAAACCTTCAAACAAAATTCCCATAATTTCCTCAGATATTTTCACCACTTCTTTATCCCACTCCACCACCCCCTCCCGGCACATGACTGGGACATTTTCCCATTTTGGTGGTCTAGGAGATAAGTTCATCTGGAAGGTGTCGCGCCAGCTGGCGGCTTCTGATTGATAGAGATCAAAGTTTGTCAAGTAGGCTGCCCCACGTGACATATCCCTCGAATAATACTCCTTTTTTACCTTTTCTGGCAGCTCAAAAAAATCTTGCATTGAGCTCAAGATTTTGGTGATTGATGACAATGAGACTGAGTGGTTGATGATTTGGAAGAAGCCTAGTGAAGAAGAGGCTCGGCGGACTTGGTCAACCAGGGTTGAGCGGGGTGAGAAGAAATCTATAACGGGGATGGTAGGTATTAGGCCAGGTGTGCAATTTGGATCAGCCTTTCTGGTTGGGGAAGGTTTCTGGTTTGGTTTGGGTGGGTAGGGATGAATGAAGAAGGAAGGGATGCTTTCTAGGCCACGATCAACAAGGCCTTTGACTCCGATTTTAGACTCATCAAATTGTTTGATTTCTTGAAGACGGGTGTTTCGGTTAGTCATGTCAGATTGAGGAGGAGGGTTGGCAGCTGTGGTTTCCATTCGGGTTTTGAGCGTTTAGGAATGATGGCAATGGATTTTTCTCCTTTTACATTCAAGTAAGGGTACAGGTAGGGGTTTGAGAGTGTTATCACAGAGATCAGAAGGAGTGGTCTGGAGAATAAAAATGGCAGGTATTATCAAAAAAAAAAAAAATGGTAGGGGAGGGGAAGCATTGTACATAAGGTAGACGAAGAAATCAGGCAGAATAGGAGCCCCAAAAACAAAAAACAAAAATCTAGAGTGGTTGAATTGAACATGGAGCAAATATAATGCTTCAACTATTTTATTTGTTTAATAATTTATTCTCAGACAACATATAAAGCTACTTTATTCTATGAACACTTTTTTTACTTGCCTTTTTATCTCATCTCATGTGTATTAAATTATCTTCAAAAAAATTAAATTGTCTTCAAAAGAATAGCTACCTAAACGAAAAATGTAAGAAAGAAAAAACACAAAAATGCAAGCTTAAACTTTAAAGTTTATACCTGAAGATTATCCCCAATGTTAAACACAATTGCGCCCTCTACAGGCACCACGTCCACCCAATCTTCTCCCACTTTGACCTGCAACCCGGGCACTTCATTCTGCACCAGCACGGTCAGCAGCCCCGGATCAGTATGTGACGTCAGCCCAGCCGTCAATTCCGCCTGCGGGCAGTACGGGTAGTAATGGGCAGCCATAACTCTGCCGTCTGACAATTCCTTCAATTTATCCTTCTTTTCCAGTCCCAACCCTTCAGATAAGATTTCCAAAACTTCCTTGGATATTTTCACCACCTCTTTGTCCCATCCCGCCACTGTCTCCCGGCAGCTGAACGGCACGTTCTCCCATTTCGGCGGGTTTGGCGCCAAGCCCATCTGGAAGGTGTCCCTCCAGCTGGCGGCCTTTGATTGGTAGAGATCGAAATTTGTGGAATAAGCCGCCCCACGTGACATATCCCTGGTGTAATACTCCATTTTTGCATCTTCCGGCAGCTCGTAAAACTCTTGAATTGAACCCAAGATTTTCTTGATTGAGGCAACTGGGACGGAGTGGTTGATGATTTGGAAGAACCCCAGTGTAGAAGATGCTCGCCGGATTTCGTCAACGATCGTCGACCTGGAAGAGGAGAAGTCTATGACGGGGATGGTGGGCTTCGTGCCGGGTCTGTTATTCGGGTCTTTCGGGTTTAGTTCGGCTGGCTTGGGATGGATGAAGAAGGAGGGAATGGCGGGTAGGCCGCGGTCAACTAGGCCTTTGACTCCGATTTTGGATTCATCGAATTGCTTGATTTCTTGGAGACGGGTGCTTTGGGTGGTCGGGTCGGGTTGAGGTGGTGGAGGGTTGGTGGTTGTGGTTGCCATGACTTTGAAATGGTGGCGGGTTTTTGCCGTTTAGATTCGGATACGGGTATGGATAGGGGTTTGAGGGTCCTTTAGATATGGAAATTACTAATTAGAGTGGGGAGAGAAAGGGGTTGTTTGCAGGAGGTGTAATTTGGAAAATGAAAATGGTAAGAGAGAGGAAACATTGTAGACGAGGTGGACCAGAAAATTTTAAAAATATAAGGAATGGAGCAGTTGAATTGCGTGGAGCAGTTGAATTGAGTAAAAAATTCTACGAATATTCTTGTCTATCAATGACAACTCTTTTGTCTCTTATCACAATTGTACTGCCAGCAAAGGTGTGGCATTTGTATTTTCTGCCTCTAACAAGAAACAGAAGCCACTTGTTTAGGTCCTTTAGCTTTTAGGAGGTTTATTCAACACTTCTAATCAATCTTATGTAAGTTGCTTGCATCTACACTCCACAATTTGGTTTCAAGCATTAAGATTTATATTGGCAATAGATAACCAATGTGGTTCTAATCTAGTCCATTCTAAAGTTTTTCTTTATCTCGAGTCGAGTTTAAGCAGTACATTAATTGGGATCGACAGTGATTCGATTATACTCCTAGTTAAGTCCTTTAGGAGGTTTATTTAACCATTGCTAGTCTAATCTTATGTAACTTGCTTGCATCTACACTCCACAATTGGCTTTATAGCATTACTTTCATACTTTCATTCTTTTTTCCCCCTATTTCCAAGTTCCAACTTGATCTTATGACCATGGATGGAATAGTAACAAACATTAATATTGGTATCAGATAAACAATATGTTTGTTATTGAAACTTGTCTTCTTTATGCTTCTTGTTTGAACATCAATATCCTTATCCCTTTTCCCCTTAGCAGTAGTTAGTTTGCTGTATATCAAGCATTCAGCAAGGAACCTCTTCTTTACTAATGTTACATTAATCTTGTGGTCTAAATGCAACACCTGCCAAATTTTGCTATGACTATTGTTCTAATTCAAATCGTGAACTATTGGCCTATTAGGAAAGAATTTGACAGATAACCTCACAATGGAAAGCTAAGGTGTCATATCAAATGCTACAATCTTGAATTTCTATACTATTGATGGATGGGAAGGAAAACCAAGAAGCAAAGCAAAAGCATTCGAATGGGATATTTATTTTCTTGTGTTATTCCCCGTCATCCCAAACTGTGCAAATAAGTAAAGAAAAAGATAATCTGCAAATATCTCTGAGTTTGTTTGAATAGGAATTTATTTGGATGATGCATTTGAGATAATTACTGTAACACTTTTTGTGTTATGATGTATGTGAGATAAAAGGGTGATTGAAATTTGTGAAGTAAATTTTTTTTTATTTCAAATCTTCCTAATCCAAACACACCCTCTATTTTTTAGTGTAATAAATCTTCTCTATGTGTTTCATTATTATGCCAGTTTGAATTGCTATTTTCTGAAGTTTTTATAGAAAAATATATTGTAGTAATTTAATATACATAAAGTAAAAATGGTGACTGAAAAATGTGTTCACAAAACATATAAATTTTTTTTTTAAAAAAATTACAATCCAAATAAAGTGAAAAAAGTTTACATGAGCTATTCTAAATTTATTAATGACACGTGTATTGTTTTCTCTCTATATTTCCATGTGGCATATGATCAAAATTTTTGACATGACAAAGATAAACTCTTTTTTCGGTTACATATGGTTACATACAAAGATAAACTCTATGAAGAATTGAAGCCGACATTTGGGCTTGTTTGGCAACCATGTGGCATATGATCAAAATTTTTGACATGACAAAGATAAACTCTTTTTTCGGTTACACATAGGGGTGGGCACGGGTCGAGTACCCGTCCCTAATACGTTTTGGCTGACCCGATCTTAAAATATCGGATCAGCCATTTTGCGACCCTAACCCTCTCCTAATATTTTCAGGTACCCACTATTCGGGTATTCGAAAAAAAGGGGCGGGTCATAGGGTACCCGCCCCTAAAAAAAAATTCCAATCAAAAATATTTTTCACTTAATATCAATGCTTTCTAATTAACATTGGTAGAGATATTATAATCAAAATTCATATGTCATCATTCTCACACATTTCATCCAATAATCAAACCGATATCATAAATTTAGTACATATTAGAATTATAATATCTAATAGATAAAATGAAATTTTATGATAATTTTGAGTACATCACCATTCCCACGCATTTCATCCTTTTATAACATAACAAACACAAGGATAATAAGTATTTGGCAACTTTTCCAACTTCCTTAAGGATGTTATGGTACAAGACTGCATCCAAAATGAGTCGATTGTGGAATCAAGTCCGGAAAAGAATTGAACAACGCTAATAATTTTTGAAGTATAATCAAAATAATCTTGAAAAATTTTCACCAACTTTCTTACATCTTTGGAATAGACCTTATTGCATTAAAGGTGATGAAAAAGAAAAATAAATTTCTTGCACTAAAATAAAGGAGACAAATTTAAGAGACACAATTGCAATAAAACAAATAAATAAATGAAAGACACAAATGTTTTAATTATCTAGCTAATAGAAAATTGGAGCTCCAAACACAAATTTTTGATTGAATTGATGAAAAATTTGCAAGAAAGATCGATGGAAGTAGAATAAAAATGAAAAAGGATGAAAAGGATAAACAATTTTTATGATAGAGTTTCACTAATTTTTCTTTGTTTTGTTTATTTTAGTTCAGGTTTCACCAAGAATATTCGTTTTTTTAAAACAAGATGAGGAAAGGCGGATCATATGAGATTAGAATATGAGGTTGTGAACCACTTTACTTACACTTAGGATTAAAAATTATAAAAATTATATGATGAACCCTTATTTTTTTAATATTTATATAATATACCCTACGGGTCGGGTACTCGCGGGTTTTTATTTTACTGATTCGTATCCGTATCCGTTTTTATGGGTACCCGATCCGCATCTGCCCCGCTAAGAAAAATCGGATTGGATATCCTATTTTTCGGATCGGATCGGGTTCGTCGGGTTTCGGATCGTATCGGATTTTTTGCCCACCCCTAGTTACACATGGTTACATACAAAGATAAACTCTTATGAAGAATTGAAGACGACATTTGGGCTTGTTTGGCAAATGAGTTTTTGTTCAAGTTTGTTTCCTACCAGTTTTATAATAACTTTATCTACAATAATTTTAAAAAATTTCTTAAAAATTTTAAACTACACAATTTAAAATACCCAAAAACACAAAAAAAAAATTCCCTTATTTTTTTCTTCTTCTTTCTCTTCCACTTCAACCCACCACCACCTCCCCTGCCAACCACCACTGGCCAGCAGCTCTTCCGACGCTGACACCGATAGAGAGAAGCTTTTTTTTTTTCCTCTTCTCCCTCTCCCCTCTCCTCTCCTCTTTCCCTTCCCTCCACTCTTCCCCGCCACCTCTCTGCCCCCCTTCCCTTACCTCGGTCTCGCTTAACTGGGGGGAGGGGGAGGGGGAGGGGGGGAAGAGAGGTGGTAGTAGGGAGGGGAGGAGAAAGGAGGAGAGGGAGAGGGAGAGGGAGAAGAGAAAGAAAAAGAGAAGAAAGCAAAAAAAAAAAAAAAAAAAAAGTTTTTGCTGCTGCAACTTCCAGTTGGGGGGAGAGGGGGGAGGGGAAGGGATAAGAAAAAGAGAGGAAAGAAAAGAAAAAAGAAAGAAAGAAAAAGAAAGAGAAAGAGAAAGAAAGAAAAAAGAAAAGAAAAAAAAGTTTTCTATCTCAAAAAATTTCTTACAACTTCTACTGTAAGATACAATAAAGTTTTAGATAAATATTCAAAAAATTCATTTGGCAAACAGGGCCGATGTAGAGTTAAGCATTTTATGACTCATTCACGTTTCCATTACTTGACTTAGCTCACTTTTAAACAAAGGGTTAATCATAAGAAGTCCCCTTGAGGTTTGGTATATTTTGTATTTTACCTCTAGCATTTTATTTTTCTTATTTTATCCCCTCCATCAATCCATCAATCCATCTCAGTGGATCATTAAAACATTCTCCATTTGGATTAGCTATTTTTAGGGGTGTTTTTGAAAAATTTTACTGTAGCAGAGTTTTTATAGTATATTTAAGGATATTTTTAGAAAATATTTTGAGATATTTAAGAATAGAAGAGTTTTTAGAATATATTTTAGGATATCTTTTAAACATTAAAAAAAATTTAGACTACTTTTTAGAGTATCTTTTAGAATACTTTTTAAAAAATTTTAATAGTAGTTGAAAAACTAATTTTTGAAAAACTCTTGAATCAAAACAGAGCCATTCAAATTGATGAAAATAACACCCATTTTAATAGTTAAAATTTTTGATGTAAATGGCACTCTTCATGTTTTATAAAGAAACGATCCCCGTAAGTTTTCTAATATTTTTTGAACATTCATCACATCAAAAATTTTCTCTCCTTCATCTGCAACATTTGTAACCAAAACAGAAAAAATGTCCCAAGTTTCTTCAAACCCATTCTCTTGCTCTTACTTTAGATGTTGTTCATCATATCATATAGAAGAACCAATCCAAGAAACCTATGGATGTGGTAAAATAGCACAATTGAAAAGATTTTGGACACTGAAAAGCTTTGGAAATAGATTTCTTGGATATTCAAATTATAAGGTTTGACTTTTACGATAAACTAATTATTTTTTATACTTTTTAGAAAAATAATTTAAAATATGAATTTTTTAAATTTAGAATCATCATGTACGTAATTATTTCAAATGAATAGACTCCAAACTTAAGCAAAGGTAGATAAATGTGTGCTATATTCGGCTTGAACCTATGTGCATTTATCTTTGTTCATTATTTTTTAGGGATATCATTGTTCTTTTGGTATTAATCATCAGCATCTTACTAAATGCTTATGTGCTATATTCAACCTGTACCTCTGCATATTTATGTTTGTCCATTAGTTCTTAGGGATGTTATTGTCCTTTTGATGATAACTGTCAGAACCATTGCTACATATTTGCTTTGACTAGTAGCAGTCGGGGGGATAAAATGCGAAAAGTAAAATATTAGGAGCTGAACTGTTGCAAAACACACTACTGTACCTCACGACTTCTCGTGATGATCCCTTTTAAACAAACAACAACAACATTAAATTCAGTCATTATCACTTTCCAAATATCTTCCTTTGCCCAGCCTCCCTCATCTCTCTCTCCAAAGTACAAACCTCCCCCACTTTCCAAACCCACCACCTAATATTAATTTCCTCCCTTCTCTGCAGGGGTTAACCCCTGCATCTTTGGTCAAATCTAGAAAATTTTGCTCTGGGTCTTAAGAACCCACCTGGTTTTGCCTTCTCAATGCAGCAAGAAATGGGGCCAGAAGGATCATCGAAAGTTGTTGGTGAGCTTCAAAACCCTCAATGTTTTTGTAATTTACTCCTTTATTTCTTGATAAAGTTGAAAATTTGTCTTCTGGGC